GCTCCCCCGGGGGCGTGCAGGAGAGCGCATTCTGGGAGGACGTCATATGACGCCCTCCCAGAAGTGGCTGGCCACAGTACGGCCATCATTCGGCTGTCTGCTAGTTACCGTAGCAACATACTTTTACGTAGCAACTGACTGGCATCAGTTCTTCAAATACTGACATACAGTAACTGTAGGTGCCACGTACAGAAGCACGCTTATAGCCAACCCACGACACTGCTGTCGGGCTTCATAGCGTGTCGGAAGGGGGATGGATGAGGGTTTAGGCTTCACTACATAAGTTATTCCCATAGCAAGAGCATTAACCTATTGACGCTGACAGTACACAAATGTGTACCAAAAGCAAACAAACGTACTGAGAATGTGCACCCTGCATATTTACTGGTGCCTTAAGGAAAGGTCCCGATCGGTACTTGCGTTCGGGACCTTTCCAATCATGTAACAGCCAATCACAGTGGTCACATGACCCTAAACCTCACCCCACCTCCTGGCGTCACAAACCCCTTCAAGGGCTGGGAGACACCAGCGCCAAGGAGTTAGGAACTTCTGGGAGACTGTTTTGCCACATATCTGGAGAACCGCTTTAGAGCTGAAGTTTAGGTATGGCAATTTTTACATAGATACATTAGTCCAGCCTGGATGTAGGTATGTATGTGAAGCTGCATTTCCACTATCTTACGGGTCCTGTGATGAGCAGCCGAACAGGTGCCTGAACATTCGCCATTCAAGGAAAACTTTGCATTTTCTCAATGAATGCAAAGCATTCTGTTATTGGACATGGTGGAGAGGCAGTGACATCATAATCTCCACCTCGTCCAATCAGAGAACACTTTGCAAAAGTGCAAAGTGCTCTCTGCAGAGTTCCTGTGCCAAGTAAGCTACCTCTTGTATTCAGTAAACAGCAGAGCAGCTGCTCGACTCAGGACCCAGAAGCTAGTGGAGATCATTGTAGTAGTGGTGTCTTCCATAGGGATCCCACACACACATGCAGTACATACTTCCGTTGGTCCAAGGTGAACCAATGTAAAAACTGTCATATCTAAAGTTCAGCTTGAAGATGGGAACCCTGCCCCCTTCCACTCTACAACTGATCAACTTTATGACAGTATCCTTCCCCTGTCCTACCCTGACCTGGCCACTACTGCTTATAACAACTCGCTGTCAACCGCTCTAGACTCGTTAGCACCTCTAACCACACAAAGCATTAGACCCCGAACGTTTCAGCCCTGGCAGACTGAACATACCAAAAATGTCAAACAACACAGTCGTGCGCTGGAGCGACTATGGCGAAAACCAGATCCCAACTAGCGTTCACCCGATATAAATCTTCCACCTTCACTTCCTCCCTCCACGCTGCCAAGCAAGCCTACTTTGTGACCCTCATCAATACCCTCTCCTCCAGTCCTCGCCGGCTCTTCTCTACTTTTAACTCTCTACTCTCTCCACCCCCCACCTCCACCCAGTACCTCACTCACCGCCCACGAGATTACCAACCACTTCAAAAACAAGATCAACGCAATTCGTAGGGACATCGCCGCTGCTCAGACTTCCACCCCACCTAGCACCCCTCACACGAAAACCCCCTCAACACCCCTCAACCTCGCCACTGTCCGAACCTCCACCCCACCTAACATTCCTCACACTAAAACCCCCTCAACACTCCACTCCTTCGGCCTTGCTACCACTGAAGAGGTCACTAAGGTCTTCTCTGAAGCCTGCGTCACCACCTGCCCCCTCGACCCTGTCCCCTCACAACTCCTACGATCTCCCTCCTCCTCCATCCTACGCTCCCTCACTCACATCTTCAATCTCTCCCTCTCTACTGGCGCATTACCCTCCCCTCTGAAGCACGCGCACATCACTCCCATACTTAAAAAAACCCTCCCTGGATCCCACCGACCTGAACAACTTTAGACCCATCTCCCTGCTGCCATTTACATCCAAACTCCTTGAGCGCTTAGTCTATAATCGCCTAGCTCCCACCTCAACGACAACAACCTCCTTGATCCCCTACAGTCCGGCTTCCGTCCCCTACACTCCACCGAAACTGCCCTACTCAAACTCACCAACGACCTGCTAACTGCCAAAGCTAATGGCCACTATTCAGTGCTCCTACTCCTCGACCTCTCCACGGCTTTCGACACAGTCGTCCACCCCCTCCTCCTCAAAAAACTACACTCTCTTGGCCTCAGAGACTCCGCTCTCTCCTGGCTCTCTTCCTATCTATCATAGAGTTCCTTCAGTGTTGCCTATAACGTTGCCACCTCCCCCTCACTCCCCCTCTCTGTTGGGGTCTCTCAAGGCTCTGTCCTCAGGCCCCTTCTCTTCTCCATCTACACTTCCTCCCTTGGCCAACTGATACACTCTCATGGCTTCAACTACCATCTCTATGCCGACGACACACAAATCTATCTCTCTACCCCTTGCCTCACCCCTTCAGTCTCCGCCCAAATCACTAGCCTACTGAACGACATATCGGATTGGATGTCACTCCACTTCCTCAAACTGAACCTTTCCAAAACCGAGCTCCTAGTTTTCCCCCCAGCCCACGCCCCCCTGATTTCTCCATCATGACCAACAATGCCACCATCAGTCCCACCCCGCAAGCCAGAGTACTTGGTGTCATCCTAGACTACAATCTGTCCTTCCAGCCCCAGGTCCAATCGCTGACAAACTCATGTAGACTCCACCTCCGCAACATCAAAATACGTCCGTTCCTAACCCCGGAAACTACTAAGCAACTCATTCACTCCCTTATCATATCACGACTTGACTACTGCAACTCCCTCCTCAACGGCCTACCTCACCACAGGCTATCCCCGCTTCAGTCTATCCTGAATACTGTGGCCAGACTCATCCACCTTACTAACCGCTCCGTATCCACCACCCCCCTCTGCCAATCCCTCCACTGGCTTCCGATTGCCCAACGGATAAAATTCAAAATGCTAACACTGACATACAAAGCTGTCCATAACACTGCCCCAAACTACATCACCGACCTGAGATCCAAATACCACCCAAAACGTACTCTCCGCTCCTCACAAGACCTCCTACTCTCTAGTTCCCTGGTCTCCTCCTCCCATGCCTGTCTGCAGGACTTCTCCAGGGCTTCCCCCATCCTCTGGAACTCCCCACCCCAATCCATCAGACTATCACCTACTCACCTCTCCTTTAGGTGCACCCTGAAAACCCACCTTTTCAGGGAAGCCTACCCCGCCCTCTGCTAATTGCCAATCTCCTCCACTCTTCCTACCACTCCATCCCCCACAGCTATTCCTCCCGTACCACTATCCCCTCCCTCCTAGATTATAAGCTCCAAGGAGCAGGGCCCTCGAACCCCTCGTGTATCGCATTGTATTGTTATTGTACTGTCTCATGTATTGTCTCCCATTGTAATGTACAGCGCTGAGCAAACTGTTGGCGCTATATAAATACTGTATAATAATAATAATGTCAGAATAGATATGATTTCTCATTCTGAGTTAGGTGTTGGGTATTTTAGCTGTACAGAATGTCATCCAGGACCTCTAGGTTGGGCATTAAATAAATCTTTGCAAAATACTAAATTGTTTTATTGACAAGATGGTTGTCACACATTTTAAACAATCTTGATTGAAGTAATTTTTTTTTTAAAGGTACCGTTTAGCTGGTCTGGAAACAAAGACTTAATTAAAACTGAATTCCAGGAATTCAGCTACTTTGTAAAAAGCATACCTTGCGTTAAGTCTAACAAGGTGCCTGTTGCCTTGTAGACTTCTCTATTATTCACATCTGACAGGTTTATTGTGCTCCAGGAAGATAACTTCATGGAACTGCTATGTCCCCTCCCCTCCTTCATAGAAGCCTTTATATTATGTAAACTCATTCACAAAATAGGCTTCTGTGAATGGGTAGCAAAGGGGAGGGGTGGACATAGCTGCTCTGTGTGCTTCTCTGCTCTCACAGTCCAAGGGGTCAAATTATTAAAACTGGTGCACTCAGAATCTGGTGCAGCTGTGCACAGTAGCCAATCAGCTTCTAACTTCAGCTTGTTCAATTAAGCTGTGGCATTAAAACCTGGAAGCTGATTGGTTTCTGTACAGAGTTGCACCAGATTTTGCAATCTTCAGTTTTAGAAAACAACCCCCCCCCAAGTGTATCTTCTAGTAGTAATAGAAGCCTGTCACATGTAAGTAATAGAGATCAGTCTCAGAGGTGACATGCACTTAAATGGGCTTACAGAAGAAGTACAGCCAAAGATCTTTTGGCTGTACTTCTCCTGTGCATCACAGGAGTGCAGTTTGCACTCCTGTTGTTACCTGTTTTCAGCTGACAGCAGGCTGAAGATCAAATCCCCTTTTGGAGACGCAAAATGCAATGAAAACCCACGACGTTTTGACACTTATGCAGGCCATAGACGGGTCGAACATCAGCTGATTTTTCGAAAAAAAAAAAAATTAAAAATCAGTTGTTTGTTCGGCCGACGTTACCACCAACGGTAACAAAAATCGGCCGACAAAATCATAGAGTTCACCCAATAACTTTTGTCCCTTGCAGGTCACGGCTCATGCGCATATTTTTTTATCGGTAAAACGATCGGTCAATTAGCCCATCATTGCCGGGATAATCGGCCAATCATCAAAATCGGCCGCAAATTTTCCAACATGACGGATAAAAAAACTGTGCAAAAAACCCAAAAAACGGCCGACCAATAACCCACTAACAGTGCGAAAATCATTTTTTTTTTTACGGACGATTTTTCGACCCGTTTATGGCCAGCATTACTTGATTTACCTGAAAAGGAAAGTTTTGGCTGGCTTTGGTTGAAGGTGTTTTTGCTACATAAAACAGCCCTATAAGTGGCACTAATGGCATTTCAGCTATTGCTTTGCGCCTCATTTGGTATAAACAAAAACAAACAAAAAAAGAATCAGTTTTTTTATACAATGTGCTTATTATATTTCTTGGTCTGTATTGCTGTGAAGTTAATCACATTAAACATATTCATCTCTTTACAGCGGACGCTGGTTGAGAAGAGGAAGCTGCTGACAAGACAACATGAAGATGCAAAGGAACTGAAAGAGAATTTGGACCGCCGAGAGCGTACTGTTTTTGAAATTTTGGCGAACTACCTTAATGAGGAAAACCTTGCAGACTATGAGCACTTTGTGAAGATGAAATCTGCCCTCATCCTGGAACAACGAGAACTGGAAGACAAAATAAAGTTGGGAGAAGAACAACTCAAATGCCTAACTGATAGTCTCACCACAGAACGTGTTAAATAGCGAACGGCAGCGCCAAAGCTGGACTTCTGGCCGGCCCATACCACACATTTCCTCATTTCCACGTGACTGTATTACACAGAATGAAAACACACCTTACTAGCAATAATGTTTGAGCTGATTGGAAAACATATTTAATTTTTTTTTTTTTTTTTAATTGTATGTCGGACTGTACATGGACTCCGTATTTTAGATAAATAGGTGTTTTTCTATTAGAAATGCAGATTTAAATGTACATTTTTAAATTCTCCATATAGTAAATTCTGTTACAATATTCTGCATGTAGCCAGCATCCTTGTTTGTGTCACATATAATGTCCGATTACCTGTAGGGTGTCCTACTGCACAGTGATGAATCAAGTGACCACAGATTTAACTTTCTGGAAATTTGTTCTCTATAACCCTGGCAAAATGAATAGTTATGACAACCTTTTTATTTTGCTGTCTCGTTTTTCTTTTCTGATCTCATCCCACCACAGTTATGAAGAAGTTTTATCAAGTTGAAAATCTGCTGTTTTCGTTTTTTTATGGAAAAAAATAATAAAAAGCATAACGTGCAGTCAACATCAATTTGATTTCATGGAGTGAGAGAGAAAGAAAACAATAAAAAGTTTGAATTCTCAAGGCACCAGGATTTAAAGCACAACAAAATCGTTACATTCCTAAATGTTTTGAAGTAAAAACACTCTTCAGTTATTTGGTTTTGGCAGTTTTTCATTAAAAAAACTTCTTGATTCATACCAGAATCCATTTCTTCTTGTTTTTAGCGCAGGGATATTCAGATCGATCTTTCGATCGACTTTGCTACAACCACCCTCTTGGGGGAGTTTTTTGTACAATCACTGCCGCTGGCTATAGAAATGATCATTGTATTTTGACAGCAGAGAAGGCTCCCGCTGTCAGAATACAATAAAACAGAGGGAAGGGTTCCCCTAACAACACTGACTGTGTTGATGAGGGAATCAAGCAATTTTCTTTCCTTCAACCTGTGATTGCAGGAAAGAAATTGTATGATGTCAGCCTAACACTTTTTGTGGCTTCTTGGACTGAACAGTCATACTTAGACAACTTGTACAACTGCTGTAACAAGCAAATTATTATAGGTTGTTAGTGCAGTGTCTATCTGACTGAATATCTATGTCTTTGGCTTCAATTGGGTTTTAATAAAAGGAACATTTTTGGTCTGTTGATCCGCATTTTACAGGGAACTAAATGTCGTACTTCACAATGCGTCTAAACTCACAGCAGTATCGGAACGTAAAACAAAGAGAGTTATGATATTGTTACCTATGTTATACCTCATTAGTTTGCTCAGAAATAGCCTGATGCAAGGGAATATGGTGTGTAATAAGTAGCCTACTGCAACCAATCCGTGTTAGTGTACAGAACAGTAAAGGTAAGTTTTGGTTGCTGTGGGTTACTGCAGTTTACACATCATTCTGGCTTTATTAAATGAGTCACATTATTCTGAGTTTCCAGACTTTTTTATATGTAATAAAAAAAACTATCTTCCTTAACTAATCAACACCTACAGTTCTATGGAAACGATACCCAAGATTTGCAGCTTTTGGTTACAGGGAAACCAGACCTCAAAGTGTTGGTGAGCAGAGGGATAATTCTAAAGGTGTCAGTAGCCATTGCTTGAAATGAGGGTTGTTCTCAAGTGGCCAGATCACAGTGTGTGTGTAGTGAAAAAAAAAAAAAAATCATTTGGGTATAGCGTTGCATGACCGAGTAATTGTCAGTGAAATTATCAAATCACTTGAAAGTACAGGGTTGTGTTTCTAGTGATACACACAGTTCAGAGAAACAGTAATATCTGCATGCAAGGTTCCATAGGACACTGTAAAGAAAGAAGACCCCACGAAACAGAAAAGCTGGGGCAGCAATCAATGCACCAATTTAAACTGGAACATAGGCAAGGATTAAAAGATAAAGAAACTGCATACTCAGTAAGTGATACATTATCTGCTGAATGTTTGTGAAAAAGCTGAGGGTTTAATATAACTGTAACCACTTGGTACCAGCCTGTAATAACCCTTTATACCAGGCCATTATTCAGTTTCAAGTGCTGTAATACTTTCACTGACAATCACCAAAATATACCCAAATTAATGTTATGTAATGTTTTTAATGTGCAGCTGCTGCAATGATGTGTGCAGTGTTGTGACTTAGTACATTATTTATTCTTTAGTACCTCTTTCCTTTTGCTGTGAAATGATTATAGAGATAATTATGCCAGTGCTTCTACCAGCATTTTTACATTTAAAGTCCAATTCTAATCAAAACCTTTATTTTTAGTTTTCAAAAGTGTTAGTCAAAGTCGGAACTTCTGTCAAGTTTTTATTGCTGAGTGGTCAATATAAAGATTTTAAGTGACACCATAATATGAGAGGGTGTGGCTATCGCTAAGACAGAAGGAGACAAAGTAGAGAAAAAACCTAGAGAGATATCTAATCATTTTCTAAATAAATAAGAAAATCTCATTTTTAAAGGTAATGCACTCGGCCTGTGCGCCCTCTTTTTGTCTCTTTATATACAGTTCTTTTTGGATTTCCCTGGTCCGTTGAGGGCAGCAAGGCTTGCATTCCTTTCATACACATGTAGGGATATTGACATTGTGGAGTCCAATGTCCAGGGCAGGATCTCAGGCATTTGGTTGTGTTTTTCTTCTTTCCAGACCTTTACAGGTCAGCCTAAGTTAAATAGAGGACAGAGTTCTATCTTTATTATGGGCCGTTAGAAGTTTTTCAACCAAGTGGGAGGTAAGGGTTATGGATCCAGAAACTGCGCATGAACTAAGCTGTAGGTAACTAAAGTACTTCCAGGGGGGGAGGTGAAATTGACGTTTCATCTCTGTAAAGTGAAGAAGACACCCTTCAGGCAGAATATGTCGCAGAGTTCTGATGCCATACCAGGCCCAAACCTGTGGGTCTGGAACCCGACTGTAAATTAACCAATAATGTATTGCCCCGGAAAGGGGTATGAGGGGAAATAGTTCGAGGCATACTAAGAAATGCATTAGCCTGCTTCTAAACTTTCACTGTGGAATATAGAATATTTAGATTAAAGTGTGGCACTCTAATCTATATACCAGGTTGCTAAGAATATACCAGGTTGCTAAGTTCTGAGCAAGACCCAAGAAGCACTGCCTCCAAATCTACCACAGAGTTAGTGATCTTGGGCAAGCCAATACTTTTCAGAGACCAAGACCACTGCCCAGTAATATTTAATAAAACAAAGTAAGGCCAGGCCTCCTTCAGTCAAAGGAAACTGCAAGATGGAGCTGGCTACTCTCGGAACAGAGCCTGCCCAGACAAAAGAAGTATCAGCCTGATCCAATTTAATAAAGAAGGTATTAGGGATAAGGGCTGGGTATGTCTGAAAATATATAGAAATTTAGAAAGAAAGATAATTTTGATCAGATTCACCCTACTCACTGGAATAAGAGGGAGTGCTTTCCAGGCAGAGCATTTCCGAAAAAAACTGTTGAAAGATCGGATACAGGTTATCTTCCAAAAACAATCTCAGGTCTTTCTGCACATAAACACCAAGATATTTAAAGTGAGTTACCCAGGTAAGGGGAGCAGGCAGATTCACAGGGGGTGCCTCGCAGGTCAAAGGAAATCGGACCGATCTATCCCAATTTATCCTAATACCAGAGAATGAGCCAAAAAGGTTAATAATCTTCAAGACAGCTGCCAGAGACTGTTGGGCATCATTTAATTATACATTCAAAGTGCAATTGTGCATACAATATCAAACCATATTATAGAGAAAAAATAGATAATGTGAGCTCATTATATGCAATAATCTGAATAAATCTAAACATATCACAAATAAGGATGTGTCAAAACACCATACTCCTTCAAAAAAAAAAAATAATAAATCTAAAAGAGTATTTTTCCACACAGATGGACAAATCTGTGTATGGACAATAATAAGCTAGATGCCTAAATATGTCGAAAACATGCAAATTTAAAAGGTGTATGTGATATAACCCAGTACTCCACTCTCATTATAAAAGTGTGTATGCATACAGATGGACAAAAGTTAAATGAACAAGCATAAATATTGCAAAAAATGTGGAAGATGAATAAAGCAATCAAATGTGCAAAATATCTGTACAGATGAATAAGTATCCAGGTGAACAGTCCAAAGTCAGGATGGAAAATCCCAAATGAAAAGAAGACACACTTCAAAGTGTAAGATGGAGAGCAATCAGTGCAACAGAAAAGAGGGTGCCAGGAAATCTCACCACCCATATGTAAGATGAACTCCTTACCAGAGACACTGATTCCACATAGAGATCGTGAAGCACCTTTCTGTCCCACAGCACAAAATATTCAGAGGATAGAGGCATGCCTCTATCCTCTGAAGACACTGTTTACTTTGAAATGCGTTTGTGCAGGGCCAAACATGGCGCTATTATGCACACTGGCAGAATCCGGTGATGCTCATCGTTTGTTATATGCTTGTGATTCTTTTTTTTTTATCATATCCAAATGGAGTACTGTGAATATGTTGTACTGTGGGACAAAACCAAATTTACCAGCCACAAATTTTTCCACTCTTATCGAGTCAAAGATTTTCTCATCATCAAGGGAAGTCACCACCCCCGAGCCCTCTCCCCCCCCCCCCCCCCCCGCAGTATGGGAAATGATGGTGGATAACTTCCGCAAGTTAATATCAGTGCCTTTACCCGGCATAAACCCTGTCTGGTCCTTATGCACTATAGAAAGGATCATCGTAGGCGGGTGGCCAAAACTTTAGTAAGGATCTTGGCATCCACATTTAGAAGTGAAATGGGCCTGTAGGAAGAACAGAGCTCCAGGTCCTTGCCCGGTTCTGGCAGAACAACCATAATGGCCCTCAGCATGGAGAGCGGTAAACGAGTCAAGCAACGATGCAGTCAATACCTCATGTAGTTTGGCATCAAGAATATCACTGAGTTTTAAAAAACTAATCTGGTAGGACATCATCACCTGCAGTTTTACCAGCCAG